TTTTAGAAAAACTAAAAAAATCCAAAATTTTCCGAATTTCGAAAAAAACGGAAATTATTTGATAGTCCCTGCGCTCTTCTATATACATACCAAACTTCAGATCGATATCTCGTTTTTTTTTTGGCCAAGTTATAGCGAAAAAACTGTTCAAAAATGATGACGTCAAGTTTTTTAACTCAATTTTTAGCGATTCTAGACCACGTACGGCAAAACAAAGACCACCATTGAACTCCCCGTGACGAGGTGCATCGATTCGATACCCATTTTATGCAAAAATATTAATTTTGAAATTTGACCTAATTTGACCTGACCTTGAACTGACCTTGACCAAAACGTGACCTAAGCTGGCCCCAAAGGCTGCCTGACCCACATAATCGCATTTGTCATGTAAAATGGACCATAAAACATGTATCACACGACACTTTCATATTGTGACCCCCCAGTGACCTGACCTCTGTGACCTGACCTGGTATCAGTGACTTCAAATAGCAAAATATGTGTTTGAAGAACATTTCCCCCATCGATGATTTTCAATGAAATGCATTTTACTCGATTTTGCAACGCATTTCTTGAAATGCCTGTAAACGGTGAAAATTGGACCTTTGACCTGACCTGTGACGTGATCGGTTTGACCTAGGTCAATAAAATTGGGTCACAAGGTAGTTCCCTGATAGGGCTATCCAACACCGTTTGCCGCTTGTCGCTAGGTTGCGTGGTTCTCGAGATCTTAGGGGGGGGGGTGCCAAAATGGCCCCCCCCCAACAGGGCGCGTTGCTCGGCAGAGCCCAACGGGGCGCGGGTTAAGCTTGAAGATGCGGATGCGATCGACTTGTTGGGTAACATGCCGGCCATGATCGTGTAAAATGGCTTCATCGTAGATCGATTAGTTTCTGAGATATAGCTGGAAATGTAAAAGTGCAAAACCTACCGCTTAAACACTATTAATAATACCAATGTGTTTTTATTACACTCTGGCGAACCATATCGTAATATTTAACCCTCGCCGGCACAGGCCATTTTGAGTCCTTCGACGGCACAAGGGGGGGGGGGGTTGGTACGACCTCCCTCGCATTTGGCCCCTGATCGAGCTAGAGCTTCGCGGAAAAAAACGAGCGTGTTGCCCGTCACGAGAGGAAGCCGATGATACCCAATTTTAAGGTCCTAGGTCATCGGGTGACCTTCCAGGTCAGGTCAATGACCCGAAAACCGGGAAAATCGGGACCTGTTAGAAAGTCGTAAAGTGTGGCTGCTATGTGGTTTTCCGGGGTGTTGATCACGAATATCGTGTTAGTTTTGATCAGAGATGATGTCTTTAAGCATTTAGACCAGGTCGGGTCAGGTCAGGTCAGGTCAAGCGGTAGGGGTTGTGACGGGTATTCGTAATACATGTCAACCGCCTCGGACAGCTTCGTAACATGTTACGAAGGCACCAAAACTACTTCGTAAATGTTCAAATGCTTGCTAAATTCGAATTCAGCTCCAAAAACTAGCCTAGAAACATGTAAAACTCGAAAAAAACTGATTTGCCTGAAGCGCCTGAGTACGCTGTAGACAGACTGTCTCGACTTCATATATCTGAAGCTGCCGTTCGATCTGCCCTGAAAGCCGTTCCAGTAAACAAGGCTTGTGGCCCCGATGACATCAGTGCGCGCATCATTGTTGAATGTGCAGATGAGCTCGTTGTTCCCATCACCAAAATATGTAACGCCTCCATAAGTTCGGGTGTCTTTCCGGAAAGATGGAAGCAGGCAAACATTATTCCGATCCACAAAAAAAGGAGACAAGAAGAATCCATCAAATTACCGGTCCGTGTCATTGCTTCCTCTCTTCGGAAAGATACTCGAACGCTTAGTTTACGATCAGTTATACCATCATGTTTCGCCGGCCCTGTGCAACGAGCAGCACGGTTTTATTCCTAGGCGGTCCTGTATTACTAACCTAACCGTTTATCTTAAGTCAGCGTGGGAGGCCATATCGGGCGGATATCAGACGGACACTATATATACAGACTATTCGGCAGCTTTTCAAAGTGTGAATCATTCCCTTCTAATTCACAAACTAAAACACTCCTTCAAATTGGAGGAGTCTGCTTTACAATGGTTCGTCTCATATCTGTCCGATAGGCGTCAGAGGGTCATCGTGAACGGAAAAACGTCCAAATGGACGGCAGTACTATCCGGTGTTCCCGAAGGATCCCTTTTGGCTCCGCTACTTTTTTCTTTGTTCATCAATGATTTACCGCGAGAAGTCGATTCCGGGTGCCTTCTGTACGCCGACGACGTCAAAATTTTTCGAAAAATTGTCTCGCCATCTGACGGACTACTGCTCCAGCAGGACCTTGGTCGTCTGGCGGCCTGGTCCGTCAGATGGGGACTCACCCTAAACCCCAGCAAATGCAAATCGTTCACGATCACCCTCAGGCGCGCACCCGTCCCGACAGAGTATTTTATCAACGCCACTAAACTCGAGCATGTTGGAGAGATACGTGACCTGGGTATCATTTTAGATACCAAGCTTACATTTGCTGCTCATGTGAACAGCATTTTTAGCAGAGCAAACCGAAACCTGGGCCTGCTGTTTCGATCCTTTCAAACAGGTGAGAAGGGAAGCAAATTTCATCGCAAGGCACTTTTGTGTGCTTACTTCTCCAGTGTACGCTCGATTTTAGAATATGGCAGTGTGATATGGGCGGGTGCGGCTGACACCCACACAGTGCGGGTCGACCGAGTACAACACAAATTTCTAATATGGCTTTTATCAAACACGCACTCCGGACATTCCATTTCTCTGGATTACAGTGCTTTACTAAATCACTTCCGGATACAGTCATTGGCTTCACGTCGAATTCAGCATGATCTGATTTTCATCAGAAACGTGTTTCATGGGAGACACGACTGCTGCCACATATTAAACAGCTTTGCACTGCACATACCCACTCGGTCGACCCGCACACAGAAACTGTTTTATGAGCCCCGTGCACGCGTCAACACCGTGAAGCGGGGTTTATTCAACAGGGTACCATGTCTAGTCAATTCGTTTTTATGCGGTGTTGCAGGGGCAGATTTTTTTACCGATGCCACTGGGACTTTTAAATCTCATGTTTTGAAGTATATATCATCTTTTTAAAGTCATAGAGCCTTTTTACAAGCTCGTTTTTTTAAATTCATCTTAACTCATATATTTTTTGTGCATTATATTTTTAGCTATATTTATCGTAATATTTACCTACTGTTTACTCTGCATTGTTTGCCCGTATGTCATTGTTTATCATGTATAGTGTTAGTTTGACTTCGCCTGTCAGTGGGGGTCCGCCCTGTTGGTGATCACTTGAATAAATTATAAATTAATTAATTATAATTATAAATTATAAAAAGTGAACCGAGGTCACCCGAGGTCACCAAAGGTCAATGACCTGACCTGACCTTCAGGTGACCTTGACACCCACCCTTATGCATGGGAGCAACATCAAATCACATGTTTGAACGTTTGAAACCACGAAAAGCTTGCAAACGCGCGGCTAATGCGAGCCGACATGCGCCGAACCGCGATTTCGGCAAAACATGGTCACAGGAAAGAGGTCACAGGTCAAAGGTCATTTGGGTCAGGGTCATGAAATTTTCAGGGTAGGTGTAAAAATGATCCATGCGAGGGTACTGAAAGTTTCGTCGCGATCGGCCGCTTTTTACGCGAGTTATTCGCGAAAAACCTTAGGGGGGGTTGCATCAACCCCCCCTCCCCCTGTGCCGGCGAGGGTTCGGACTTCGGTGATCTTACATTTTCATTGAACTTTGTGTAGTAACATCTAACAAATGCACTCGAATCTAAAATTTTAATTTCTTGGGCTTTTCCAAGCATTCTGGCTGCCCTCCGTCAAACAACTCTTGCAGGGTTTGGATTGAAAGCACCTGCACATTATACAACTTTAACTTTGATATTTAACCTGACCTTGATCAAATCTGTAACGTTTCATGAGAACATGCTTGTGGTTCTTCAGATTTCTTCTGTAAATATATTTCGATTGCCTCTCTTTTTGCTAGGACTGTCAACTCTGGGATCCACACCCCCTGAGTCGGTCGAAGTCCCCGGCAGTGGGGGAGTGTTTGCCATGGGCCGGGCTCGGCTACGGGCTGGGCTGGGCCAGTCAAATGTGAAGGATCAGAACAATGGGACAGGAGCGATGGACTCAGGGTTCACGACTGAGACAAAAACCGCAATTAGATGATAAGTGCATGCTTCGCAGAGTGCAGATGCATGTCATATAAATTATAAGCATTATGTCAATGAATTGCATAAACTGAAATACATTTTGTAATTTTTCATTTGCTTGTTTTACCGGAACGGGATGGATTGGGTTTTGTAATTTTTATCAATAATGGGCACGGGCCGGGCCGGGCTGTGAACCCATTGGCTTGGGCCGGGCTGTACTTGAGTTTTGTGACCCGTGGTGAACACTGCCGAGGCGGACACTTGCTGCACGAGTGCGTAAATCTGAGGTCTCTCCTGTCGCACGCATTGCTGCACACTACACAGCTTCCATGCACAGCTTGCGCAACGTGCATGCGCCTGGCAGCACGGAACCCAGCTCCCGCATCCGCACTGGACAGCCCTGGACGGGCATCAGCTCCCCGATAATCTGTCGGCCGACAACGGAAAATGATCAGTGACGCTCCGTACGGACAATGGCAGAAGGCCCGACGGCACTCGGCTCCCCAGCCCGCAGACTTTCTGCACGGAAACGCTTCCGCCGTACGTCAGGGAGTAACCGCCCGCGGCCCGTCCGGTAGCGGCGGCGGTGAGGGGTTTTCTCCGGCGGCCGGCGGCGGGGCCCGACCGTACAGAGGAACAGCCTTGACGGGCCACTTGGCCGGCCAGCCAATGAGAGGCGCCCGCCCGCTGGAGCGTCACTGGCGCCGGGCTTTCCGTATAGTGACGTCAGCAGCGCCGCCATTAAACTGGTTTGGGCCGCCGGGCCAGCAGCAGTGCGGCACAGAGCGCGAGCGATGGAGGTTCTGCGGCGGCGAGTGACTGTGGTTGTGTGTCTGGCGCTGGTGGCAATCGCCGCCGGGCAGAAACTCTCGCTCAAGGAGCGCCGGACGGCGGTGTTTGACTCGCTGGCCAACCACCCGGGACTGAAGTTCCTCGACCTGGAGTTTTGCGGCACGGGCTCTGAGGCGCAGATCAGCCGCGGCCCGCTCGGCTGCGGTTTCCCGGTGGTGGGCGACCACCCGTGGCTGGTGGCGCTCGGCTTCCGGGCCCCCGGCGGTCGCATCACCTACACCTGCGCCGGAGCGCTGATCAGCGACCAGTTCGTGGTCACCTCGGCACGCTGCGCGCTCGGCGGACACGATTTCCCGCTGGCCAAGGTTCGGCTGGGCGAGTACGACTTCGGGACTAGCTCGGACTGCCTCTGGTATGCGCCCGAGCAGTGTTTACAGTCGCAGGAGATCGACACGGCTGACGTCATGGTCCACCCTAAGTTCAAACCGAGCCTGTGGCGGGCCGGAGCGAGCCTCTACGACATCGGCATCGTGCGCCTGGCCAAGCCGGTGGTGCTGACGTACGGAATCCTGCCCATCTGTCTGCCGATCTACAGCGAGCGGCCGCCGCCCCGCAGCCAACGAGCCATCGGCTTTAGCCTGGAGAGCAGTGCACCGATGACCGACAGTGGCGCCGCCTGCTGTAACTGCTCGCGCGACCGTGGCGCCACCTCTCACGTGATGGACGCCGTCCGGCTGTCTCACTTCAACGAGACCTACGACGGTCCGGACGCGTGCCGGTACCGGATGCTGGGCGAGAAGGCCGGCGAGCCAGGCACGTGCATCGGCGCCGGCGACGGCTGCATGGCCGACCGGGGCGGTCCGATGGTGTCCGCCGACAAGTTCGGCTCGGCCTACTTCCTGTTGGGCGTGGCCACGTCCGTCCCCAGTGAGAAGTCGTGCAGTGCACGGAAGGACGCCGAGGTGGTCTACTTGCCGGTGAAGCCGCACACAGAGTGGCTCCTCTCCTCCATGGACCTTATAGCGGGCGGCTCGCCGCGTCCATTCTGAAAGCCGGGAGCTGAGAGGGGTCCGGCGGCGCCATGGCCGTTCTAAAGCCGGTTTAGCGGGGATGGCCTCGGCTGGCTCGCGTCGTCCGAGGCCAGAGATGAAGCAGAATGCAGCTGGGGAGGCCGCTGGGCGCGGCGGTACGTGCTCTGCGACAAATGATGGTTGGTAGCCTGTGCCAGGCTGGACACGACGGTCGCCGATGGAAACAAATTCACTGTCTCCTATCTATTGCGTGATTTTGTATTTGTGTGCGGTGAAAGACCGACTGAGTTTCACTTCAAGTGAGATCTGCATCTTCTGCACATGCAATGGGATTCTGTTCAAATGTGTGAACTAGGTTTTATGCTGCATTTTGTTGAGCATCGGGAGCTTATTTTATTAAAGTGAATGAGCTTACTTGGTTTTATTGTGTGCTGAAGTGACTGCTATCGTAAGAATGACCTGTGATGTTGTATCGTAACGGTATATCAATGCACTAAATACACATGATATATGCTACTCTAATTTTATGTTGGTTGCAAATTGTTATGGAAGTATTACGATATGCACAACGCGCAATATCTCTCTTAGTTAACCAACGAATTCTAAATTCCACCCGTATTCGCGTTATCACAGCAGCTAACGTCCAGTGGGCGCGGGAGGGGGGGGGGGGCGATGATCCCCATTCCCCATCCTCCTGGCTGGTCGGCCCCTGATGGTGCTAAAGCTTCGCGATAAAAACGAGTGTGTTGCCCCGTGCCCGTGGTGAGAGGAAGCCGATGATGCGTAGGTAGTTTTAGTGTGATAGGCTATTGGTTGACATTCCAATTTCCAAGTCAGGTCAATGACCTAAAAGTCTGGAAAACCGTGATACAACTTCTTGAAACTGGGTTTCCAGGTGTATTTTTGGGTCCTACTTTTGAGTTTTCTTTCTTTCAAGAATGATTCATAAGTGCATTTTGGGAGATCGTTTCAGGTCAGGTCAGGTCAGGTCAACCTTCAGACATTCCGCTGGATATTCTTAGTGGGTGTTGGCCAAATACAAACAGATTCTAAACAAGATTTCAAAAACTAGTTCTCAGATGCTCAAATGAATGCTGACTTCAAGGACAGTTCCAAACACTACCAACAAAGTTGTAGGTACAACTTCAAAAAAAAAAAAAAAAAAAACGGGGATGACAAAGGTCAATAGCCTAAGCCTGTTCCGTACGTGATTCTTGACAATCACATCATGTATGTAGTATGTATGTATTGACACCAAAAGCCTTCCACATATGGCGTGGCGATTATCATCTATGGGACAAAGAGTATTTCACGCATGCTGGCACGTTTCTAATCACAAGAAGCCTGGAAACGCATCAAATAGTGCGCTGACTTCGGTAGGATCGTCATTCCGGCCTGCCATAGTCTCAAGGGAAAGGTCACAGGTTAAAGGTCATTGGGACCATGATCATGAAATGTTCAGGATATCTGTCAAATTAATCAGCATGGGGTTAGAGGTAGTAGCCGTTTTCATGACGGCCATCTGGTACACATTTGGTGCAGAAAAGGTGCAGATTTAGTGAGGATTTGGTCAAATCTGGTTTATTGTGTTTGCTAAAAGCCATCAGTTTGGGTTGGAAAGATACCGATATACTCGCCGGACCTATTGGTTTTCTACATACGCGCCGGCCGGGGGGGGGGGGTACGACCCCCCCCCCCTCGCCGTTTCGCCCCTGGTGGAGCTAGCGCGTCGCGGAAAAAACGAGCGTGTGCGCCGTTACGAGACGCAGAGATTGGTACCCGATTTTAAGGTCCTAGGTCAACCGGTGACCTCTGAGGTCAGGTCAAGTGCCCCAAGGTACGTTTCAGTTTTTGGTGAATAACTTCGCAAAAAACGGCCGCAGAGCGCCGATTTTAGCAGCATCATGTTCGCCTCGCTCAGGCGCGTCGAATGATATACTTTTTGTCCGGGTCAGGTTAACTTGGGGTGTTGACCTCAGGTCAAGGTCAGGTCAGCACCCCCAGGTCACGAAGTTGGTCGAAAGAGGTCATGTCGCATATCATTCGATTTGGCAGGCCTTCCTGCGTCCATTGGTGGCTTTCCCGACTCGCTAGCTCAATTTGATCAAGAGTTATTGACGAAAAACTAATATGACCTTGATGACGTCATAAATGACGTCGCGAAAGGTCAACATTGCAAAAGTGACGCATCTAACCTTGCAAGGAGTGCATCAAATCACGATTCTGTGTGCTTGAGATAGTTGGAGATCGTTCCCGGCGCCAGAATAGCAGTTTTCATTTTTCCCCATTGACTTATAGGTAATGGTGAGGTCACGAAAATGACCTGACCTCATATGACCTTTAGGAAAAATCCGAGATATGCAAGTTGTGTGACTCATAATAGATACTAGCTCCTGCAAGTTTCATTTCCCTGTGACATCTCCTCTGGCAGTGAGGGCGTTGCGAAGTTGCGACATCTGAAGACCGTGCAGAGGTTCACTTATGACGTCATAGGTCAGTGACCTGACCTGATCCAAAAATGCGGTTGGTGTCAAAAGATCCGGCTTGGATCAAAGGTCAGGTATGCCAAGTTTTAGCTCTCTATCGCCAGCGTGTTCGGAGCTATCGCGAAAAAACCCTATGGAGGGGGGGGGGCGGCACCCGCCCCCCCCCCCCCCTCCTCGGCCGGCGAGGGTTAAATGATCAGGCATCATTTTCGATCGAAACGCTGAAATAAATCCATGATATGAAGATATTTGTTGCAGAAGAGAGTTGGTGTAGGTTTGGTCAAATTTGGTGCCTTCGCCAAATAGTCTGTCGTGAAAACGGCTATTACATAGTTTCAGTTTAGTTGCTCTACGCCGTTTATGCCATGAGTTATTCGTGAAAAATGGAGGGTGATCCATCCGACCTCTCCTTTAATTACAATAATTAAATAACTAAGGCCCCAAATGAAAATACGTTAAATGCATGTTGGCGTATACGCCAGGGGGAACAGGGGAGCCGGGGGGGGGAGGTCATGGCCCCCACTTTCAGCCATTTTTAAAGCAAAAACTTAATTTTTATTTGAATACCAAACTAAGAAGAAATGGTTCAGCAAGGTGAGATGAGCACAAAACAGCAAATAATTTATTCATAGGGGTAAATGGGGCTCCCACAAAGTAATATTGAAGTTTCGCTGCCCCGCCCCCCCCCCCACACACACACAATTTTTGTGAGGTTCCTACGCCCATGGTTAAAAGCAAAAATTTGGGTGTCGAGAAACCGTTTGTCGTTTGAGAATAGTTTTACTCGATTACACCTGCTTCGTTTTGTCATATCCCCTTTGGCTTATATTAGTAGGTACTTACATATCACGTGTTTTTCATTTTAATTCTGCTGACGCATTCAATGTAATATGATTCAATTCAACTAAATGCAAAATGCAATATGATGCATTCGATGCATTATATTCAACATTCCAAAACAATGCATTGAACAATAACAATTCAATGTTTAGTGTTAAAATTGACTTAACAGCTGACACTCAGTTGCATTAAGGTTTCCGTCCAATTTTTTATGTTCTTGAACGCGCTAGATATTTTTTTTTTTGGTAGCATAAAATCCTGATAGCGATCTTCAGGACGAAAATAAACCTCCGTAAATAGCAGACGTATTTCTCAGTTGGTCATTGGTCACCTTATCCAGCTGACTTCTAATCGCAAAGTGACCAGCCGATCTGATCCCAAAGACACCGTGGTCCGCCTCCCATTGGTGATTTCGGAAGATGTCACTTCACACCCCTCAAACAAATGCACAGGCCGTGATGAAACCGACAAAACTGAGCTATTAAACATCGCCAAGCATTGAGGCAGCGTTTGTTTTACTGAGAGCTGCCACTTTACAGTCGGCACTAGTGTAACGGTAGCTTTTATGTTCCGGTTCGCTTAAGGCCTGGCTACACTATGCGTTTTCTTCGTGCGTTTTATGCGTGTTTGCGTGTTTTGCGTGATATCGTTCTAGAAAAAAGAACGATATTACGTTTTTGTGATGTTTTTCACCTTAAATTCTAGCTACATAAGAGTTATATTAGCTTTTGTATATAACCAAAGTAAAAATTATATTGTTTATAACTTTTTTCCTAGCACGATATTACGCAAAACACGCAAACCTGCAAAAACGCACGCAGAAAACGCATAGTGTAGCCAGGCCTTTAGTCGCGCCTCATGAACTCTGACCTCACTCGTGAGGGGCTGGAAAGCTGAGCGCTCTAGCTTCTCCAATGATCAGAAACCACAACGGGTTTCCCAGCCATTGCAATTCACCTTTTCCCTCATCCAGGGGTGATCAGGAGATGAAGAAGCCTCAGAGGCACCGCTTTTTATTGCACGAGTCTGCCAGGAGGACGGAGTGAATAGCACGAGTTTCACCCACCCAAGTGCCGATAAAAAAAAAAAACTTAAAAAGCACAATGGGTATGCAATGTAAGGAGTAGGAAATGTCAGAAATGCCCTATGTAACTTAGCACATATGGTTACCCTAAAACAACGAAACTCTTTACAATGTGAGCATATTTCACTGGATTAAAAATTGCCTGGCGTTAGACACGGCAGCATCAAGCATGTGTATTGTTGGCAAGTATCGCATGCGCGCTGCAGTGATTCAATACTATAACGTTGACATGGACCTATGCCATGGCATAAGAAGCTTGTATCCATATTCACTAATACTAAGTAAGACAGTGTGTCATAGGTGCTTATGTGCTGACATAGTCCTTCCATGTATCGCTCAAGCACAATAACGCCACTCTAGATTCAGTGATGCAGCTCGTAAGATGCCGATTCAGTGCGAGCGACGTGACAGTACATACATCGTCGTGTTCGATGACACCCCGAACATGATTTCACACATGTGAGTCACGAAACGACGTCATTGGGACGACACGCAAAGGCGTCATCGGGACACAACGGAAAATATTTTCGGAACCTTATCGGAAAATCACAGAGCTTGCACAGTCCTTCTAACTAATACTAACGATAAGCACCACACAAGTTCGGTAC